ATTCATCTCAGCCTGATTAACTCTCAATCCCTACTGGTGTGTCAGAAAGAGGCCAAGTGGAAATCCATCAGAATGGCCAAGGCTCTGTAGTGGTTTGCGGCGGCATTTCAAGTTAAGTTAAATTAAGTTACCAAGCGACCAAGTTAAAAAAAGGACACAGGCGAACACCAAGTAGTCTCATTCTTTTAGGTTTCATCATTTAGCACCAGACTAGCTTGTAGCTATACTTTGAGAATTTACATTTGAGATTTTGCAGATGTGGCAGAATGAATTCATTTCATGGGACCCTGAACAGTTTTGTGGAATAACCCATGTTTCGGTTCCTAAAGACCTGCTCTGGAGACCAGACCTCTTCATCTATGAGATGTGAGTCCACAGCACACATACACAAACAAAGGAACAAAACAAACTCTCTGTACAAGAAACCGCTAATAGAAAGTAAAATCTAACTCAAAGGGTGAGACAATAGAGGTAATCTGATGTAACGCTGCAGCTGTTTAACATGTAACCTAATAGCTTGCTTTTGTACATACACAGTACACACATAGCACATTGTGTAGTAGGAGAGCATTAGGAGAAAAACACACAATTCTGCAGTGTTGACATATTTCAAATATTGTTATGTGTGTGTGTGTGTGTGATTGTTTTTTCAGGGTACAGAAAGATGATTCCCCTCAGAATTCTTTCATGTATTTGTCCCACAATGGTATAATTAGTTCTGAAGAGGACGTAAGGGTGATCAGCACCTGCAAAATGGACGTCTATAAGTTCCCTTTCGACACACAGAAATGTAACATAACCATCGGTTCTGCCATACACAGTGGTAAGGATGTCCCCTCTCTATCCGGGCCTCTAACTATGATGATTTCATATGCTTTTACATTCAACATCTCACACTTTTTTCTTTCTTTTTTTAAATCTCACCATAGCTAATGAAATCAGAATGATTCCATTTTCCAACTCGTCCCGGGCCACACAGTTCTCCCAGGAGATAATACGGACGCAGGGGGAGTGGGAGTTCATCCATTTGTCTGTCGTCCCCTTGAATTTTAGCTACCAAAAAAGACAGTGGGAGCAGCTCATCTACACTGTACGTAGTGAATCCTGAAACACAAATGGGTGTAAAATACTGAGATATGAGAAAACACACCAGTGTCTGACACCTACATTGTTCTAATCTTACACTCTATATAGCTCTTGAGTATCCAGCATCACCGTGACATAACAAACACATATTAAGGTGTCCATTTAATGCAAATACTTTTAGATAATATTTTCTTTTCTAACAAAACACTTCCCACAGTTCATCAGTCAAACAAAAAGAATATATTATTAATTCTCCTCATGACCCACGACCTGGTACTATTATTTATACCTTTTTCCAGACCAGAATCAGTTTCCATGTAATGTCTCTTTTTCTCTCCAGTTCACTATAAAAAGGAGGCCTTTTCTTCATGTCATCAACTTCCTGTTGCCAATCCTCTTCTTCCTGAGCCTGGACCTGGCCTCCTTCTTTATCTCAGACTGTAGGGGAGAGAAGTTGGGCTTTAAAGTCACAGTGCTATTGGCCATCTCAGTCCTACTGCTGATTCTAAATGACATCCTTCCATGCATGTCCAACAACACTCCACTCATAGGTACAAACCCCCGAGCCCACATTCACGTCAAAGACCGTGTGAAGAACCATTTAATCCAATGATAAGCTAAGTATACTTCTCATTTGTTCCCACCTTTCAGCAACCTACTGCATTGTGATATTTGCGTTGATGCTACTCAGTCTGCTTGAGACTATTTTGGTTACATATCTGATTGAGCGTGATTCCACAACCAAGAAAAAACTCCAACAACAAATCGACTATGAGGAACAAGAGCACAGTGATGATTCCTATTCCGGTATTTAGACGTTTCTACTTATTTAGCAAAAGGACATTATGAACAACCCCGCAAACTAAAATTCAAAATGCTAATGTATTCGTATACAGCTGGTGTTATGTGCAGTTAGTGTTCTACTTAATCCTTTCTGTTTTTAGAAGGAAAAACATGGAGCAGCTGCTCATGCCTCGGTAAAGTGTCAATTGGCGAGAAGGATCACAAAATGCTGCCTGTGGCTACAGAGGTACAGAATTGGAAGTCAACTCCTGTTCAACTGATCTGATCACTTTAACAAAGACACATAATACTGAGGCTGACATTTACTATTGCCAACACTCCATGATAGCTGATATAATGGAAGTCTCTTTCCTAAACCCATTGGTCATGCAGGCTGCACACCTTACCTCTGTTTAGATCATTGATGGCATTTTCCCTCCATAGAGAATGTAGCATACAGTCCCACACATCCTGCTTTGGCATTCTTTCATTTCTTTAATTCTGTAAAATGTGTCATATTCATAATGATATGCCTGGACCACTACAGAAACAGAGAAAAACATACAAACACATACAACTACTGGTTTATATAATTTTAAAAATATCATAGTTAATGATTAAACATTGCTACCAATATGAAAATCCTGAATATATTTAAAAGACAGTGTGTGTACTAACTCACTCGTACTGCAGAATAATTCTACTCTAACATAGCTGCGGGGCTGCTTGTGTTTGTGCAGGGTAACAGCAGCTCTCAATGCAGAGAGTCTCAGGTGCTGCTGCTGATTCTGGACGAGCTGAAGGGGCTGCAGAAAACCCAGAAACTGCACCTGAGCCCCCGGGAGGAAGTAGTCAGACCAATCCTATTGGCCAGGAGAATCAACAGATGTTTCTTCACTTTCTATGTTATCACTGTGTCACTATTTTTGTCCCTTATCTTCTGTGCATGGATGCTTTAAAACCCCTCCCCTGTACTTTTTTATAACTAGAGTACATGTATCAGTCATTACTCCTTTGGTTTTCCAAATCCAAACATTTACTTATTTTGAATGTAATATGCATATTACCGGAATGTTACATTTGTTATTAGCAGCAGGTGACAGTTTCCTTTGTTTGAGCTGTGCAGATAGTACATAAGGAACGATCTATTATACAAATCTGACAATGTCATGTTTCAGAAGTAATACAAAAACCACAACATTTCACAGTAAAAAAAGTTTCATGTGACTTGTACTTCATTGTTATGACACTGAACAAACTACAGGGGTATGATCTCTGTGTGCAGGTTCAACCACTGTACTGTCTGTAAATGTTATTTATTTCTATCTTTAACGTAAGTTAAGAACATTTTTAAGAGCTTTTGTGATGATGTTGTAAAGGTTAAATGTTGGAAACACAGAACTACTGGGGTCCTGAAAAAATGTAATGCCGCTTCTACACCGCATTTTAGAACAGTTTTTGAGCTTAATGATGGGCTGCTGCTTTAATTCCATGTCACAGTTGACTGTGATGTAGAGACAGATGTACTGTGTATGTAGAATCTTAAAGGCTTGAGTGCAGTATAGGATTGTACTTGGACGTTGCAGGTTGTACCGACAGAATATTCCATAAAGGTTATATATATGATATGCAGCAATAAACAAACAAACAAAAACATTCGGAGGCATTAACTCTTCAAAGTCTGCATAGACACTGCAGCAAATGTCTGTGTTAAACTTACACAAAGCTACACAAATTGTGAGATTATGTCACAAACACAATACCAAAATCAACAGTATGGAGAAACCTCATGAAGTGCAGGGGCGAATCAGCATCTATGACATGAGGTGCTTTTATATGATGCACAAGCCCACCTTCAAATACTGATAACACAATATTTGACCTCTCAGTGGCGCTCTGTCAGACAAAGAATAATCAAATCCAGTAAATCAGTAACTCAGTAAATCTGTGTTATCTCTGTTTTCTGTCATACTCATCTTTCCTGGTGGTTTCTTCATTCGTCACAGCCTATCACTGACTGTGAATATAAATCAATCGTGTTTATCTTCACCAGCCTTATTTCCTCTGTGTCATAAAGTATTCTGTCGTGAGCAGCCACCAGATCTAAGATACCAGGTTTCCATTCCCTTGATAAGAGTTCGCAGTTAATACTCATCACAGTAGAGCACTTTAATAGTTTTAACAGAGTGGTTCTCCATAACTCCACTAGAGGGTATCATTCGCTTGTTACAGATTCAATGGCGAACGTTAAGAACTTCTTAGTTGTATTAAGCAGTGGTGTTTGGTCTTTACTTGTTTTCTTCAAATGTGCTTTTTTGTTGAAGCCATTATTCTTGTACGCATTATTTATAATATTTTCGTTCTATATACCAGCAGTACTGAAGCAGCCCCTCAAGCCCCAAAGAAAATAAGAGTATGAAATCAAAATAGTCATTTGTACATATTTTAAAGTCCTTATTTGTTGCTAATGAATTAAATGTTAAATAGGGGCAAGTTATCTTTTCATGTCTGCCTCTGAAAGCATTTATAATATCTCTGAAAAAAGTGTCTGTAAAAACAGCCAGAGCTACAGTCATATTTACCATGAATCTGTCATTACAGCCCATTTTGTCCACACCAGTGACATCCTCGTCTCATGTTCCCTCCTGAACAAACCCACAGAGAGATGTTAGGATGGCTGCTGTGGGAGTGGGAGTGAGCTCTCTCTCCAGATGGCTATTACCCTAATGATGTTGGAGGAAAAAACTGGTTTTGTAATTCACTTTTCCGGCCCTCTTTTAGCAGGAAACAGTCGTGGTTAGATTTTTCAGACACAGCTGGACAGAGGACAGAGACTCACAGGTGTCACAGACTTGACACTGCAGCTGGACACGTACTGTACGGAGTGGGGAACAGGACATCATGCAGCAGAGCTGTCAGCTCTGAGTGCTGGACCACTGCTGTACACCCTCTTCACCTATGACTGTGTGGGAGAGACCACTGACCCCAGGACTGTTACATCTGCGGACGACACCACAGTCATGGGACTGAATACAGGAGAAGAGGAGACGGTGTACACAAGGGAGGAGGCACCACTGGTGGCTTGGTGTCAGGACAATAATCTCTCCTTAGATGCTGAAATGACCAAAGAGATTGTTGACCATCCTACAACATCGCAACAGCAGCTCCTGAAGGAGTCACGGCAGAGGCTGTACTTCTTAAGACGTCTGAAGACGTTTGGTATGCCAACCAACTTCTACAGATGCCCAATTGACTGTGTGGCATGGGAGCTGCATGAGAATCTGTGAAGAAGCCTTCCATTCGCCACAGGACATTTACAGAAGCAGTGTCATCAGGAGGGCCCAGAACAGAGGAAGGTTTCTGTCATCCAGACGGCACTACAGAAGTGTGAGAGCAGGAGCAAAGAGACTGACTTACAGCTTCTATCTACAGCCAATTGGACGCTCGAACACCCCCAACTTCCGAACCCCCACTGATGCGTTACTACTGGCCTGTACCTGCTGTAACTGTACCTCCCCTGACGTCAACTTCTGTTTGGCACAGAGACAAGACTTTATTTCCTTTCCCAGTGCAATTCATTTTATTTCACTTTTGTGTTGTTACTGCTATGTTTGCTCATTGTGTTCATTCTGTTGTATGTGGTTTTTGCTGTAAAGCAGAAACAACAAAGTAAGCCCAAAGTATTTCATTGCATATATATTCTGTATATCAGTGTTTCCCAAACATTTTTTGTCTGGGGATCCATATTTTAAAAGTCACAAATCTTTGCCACCCAAGTCAATAGACATTATTCGTAAACTCCTGGGAAACATGATGTGAGACGGCCCCAAAAAACATCTCTTGTGACCCACCTGAAGGTCGTGACCCAGTCTTTGGGGAACAATGCTATATATATATACTGTATATAAGGTGTCTTGTACTGAGGCTCTAATTGACATCAGTTGGATCTATGGTACAGATCCTCATTTCTTATCATAATGGCCTCTCTGTAGCCACAACTACTGGATTTTATAGCATCTAATTATGAGCAGGTGGTTTTCGTGGTTGGATGACTATTTCAGAAGCAGCAGATTTGAAGCCACAGTTGTTAGTGTCTGATACTTTCCGCTTAGCAATACCAAGAAACTGTCAAACAAGTGTTAGGGTGTGGTGTTCTCTCTCTGTAAAAGCTGTAAAATTAGCTTTTTATTTTACACCTGGTTTGAGTTGCCCTCATAATGGAAACGTGTCTATGAAAATTCTCGGTCATCCAGGTCAAGGTTGAAGAGTTCTGTTAGGCAACTGGTCGTGAAATGTTCGCATAGAAGACGTTTCACCTCTCATCCAAGAGGTTTCTTCAGTTCTAACTGGTGGAGGGGAGTACAGCAAATATATATTCTGGATGTGACAAAGAAATAAGCTACTTCAGCTCCCCCCGTTGGGTGGGGCGTTGGGGTCAACTGGGAAAGTGTAAACAGTCATTAGGAGTCTGATGGGTCGTTGTGGTCCCCATCAGAACGGTTTCAGTCACCTGCTTCTTTGTTGTGTGAAACTGAGAAGAATCTGTTTTGTCCTGGATATATCCGGTGGTACAGTGGTCTATCGATGGCTTTATCCTTTTCCAGATGTTGGAGGTAGCTGATGACCTTCTTTTTTAGCTGCTGGTGGGATCTTTTCTCAGGGATTCATAAATGGCTGAGTCACATAGGAGGAACTTTAACCAACACCAATCCCTGGTTCAAACCCGGTAACACCCTAAGACAAAAACTGGTTCATCCTGGTTCAAAGACAAGACCCCAAGAAACAAGCTGGACAATGTGGTTGATGCCATTCAGTGCAGTGAAGAGTGTACGGACCTGTACATTGGGGAGACCAAACAACCGCTACACAGGCGCATGGCCAAACACAGGAGGGCCAACTCCTCAGGACAGGACTCAGCTGTTCACATACACCTCTAGCACAAAACCCACACCTTTGAGGACAACAATGTACACATTTTGGCCAGAGAAGACAGATGATTTGAGAGGGGTAAAAGAAGCCATTTTTGTCAACCTGGAAAAACCATCACTCAACAGAGGAGGTGGACTCAGACACAACCTATCACCCACATACAAGGCTCTCTTAGGAACAATACCCAAAAGATTCTCCTCAGTTTCACACAACAAAGAAGCAGGTGACTGAAACCGCTCTGATGGGGACCATAACGACCCATCAGACTCCTAACGACTGTTTACACTTTCCCAGTTGACCCCAACGCCCCACCCAACGGGGGGAGCTGAAGTAGCTTATTTCTTTGTCACATCCAGAATATATTATATTTGCTGTACTCCCCTCCACCAGTTAGAACTGAAGAAACCTCTTGGATGAGAGGTGAAACGTCTTCTTTGAGAAAATATCACATCCAGTTGCCTAACAGAACTCTTCAACCTTCATGATGGAGTCATTTTGTCATTTGTCATGTTTATACAGAATGAACAATGAAAAACTGGCATAAGAAGTGTTGCAAGTCTTAATAACAGAACCAAGGCTCAACTTGGAATGCTAATGAAAACCTTGCGTATGGAACCTAAACTGCTACAGGTGGTGTGAACCTTCAGGCCAGCTGTAGTTATCAGGATGTGCAGTAACTACCTGGACCTGACCAAAAACTACTGGAGGTTGGGCTCTACACTAGTCAAGATGTGGTGAGTCAGGCAGGCTGTTTTTAGATGATTATTATTAGTATTTACATCAGACATTATCTTAAAATTATCAACACCCCCAAAAACATTCTATATAAAAGATGAAGAAACTAAAAAAAATTCAAAGGAAGCGTAAAATAATAAACATGATATCTAAAAAGCTCTGTCTCCAAAAATAATCTGTTAATGTGTGTTGATTTTGTTTACAGAAAATATTGATGTCTATCCCTTATTATCAGTCATTTGATTTGTCTCTTTCTCTACAGTTGTTATTGCTCCTCTTCTCATGTTTGTCTTTTCTATTTCAGTGGTGGCAAAATGAGTGCATCTTCCAGGAACCAGTGAAAATCTGTGGTATTGATAATGTTTCCTTTACAAATGGGATTCCGTAGGAGCAAGATCTCAAAGTTGAAGAAATGTAAAAGATTCTCTCACTCTCTGTTACATACACATGCACTTAGCTGAGCTAATGTTTAGTTCCAACATGAATTTTTCATGCGTACAAACAACACAGTTATCATTCATCTTAATCGTTTTAAATTTTTTCATACAGTAATGAGTGGGTACATTTGTCTAGAAATGAGGTTCGTCTGATACACATCTGCTGAAGCCTGTACCAGAGATTAAATTACACAACAGGAACCTGACCATTTGATTCATGAGTTCACAACAACCCCAGCCCTCCAGGGTTAAATCAGACGTATGTATGATAAGAACATGAAAGAAATGTCCCCAAAAATCCCTGATACAAAGACATGTTTACCTGCCTAACTGTCAGGTCTGTCTGTTTCCTGTTCCTGCTGTCTGCTGTGTGGCGTAATCTGTGTTATCACACTCCCCCGTGTCTCTGTAATTTGTCTGACTTGTGTCACCTGGTGCTCTTTGTATAAATGTAATACTCTCCCTCACTCTGGCCTCGTGGGATCACTGTGTTGTGTTGTCTTGTACCTGATCGATGTTGTATCTGTTCCTAGTCTGTTGCTGGTCAAGTCTGTTCCTGTTCTCTGCTTTGCTTGGCTCTGCGTATGCTTCTGTCCTGGTCTTTGGAAGTGATTTTTGTGAATTTTGATTTTTGAAATAAACGACCTGCACCAGTCCTGCATTTGGGTCCTGCCTGCTTCCTACCATGTTGATGGCTCATCATTACACTAACAATGGAATAGTATTGAAAGAAGACTGATTTACGGACTGACCCAGGCTCACATTTCCATAACATGGGACATCAACATGTTCAGTGTTTATAATATAAGCTAATAATGGTCAAATAATTGAGAAAAATGATGACCATTAAGGTCATCAGGCTAAGGTCTGCTCTCTACTGTTTTCATTAAATCCTGCCTCAGCTGTTATCACCCAAACCATCTTTGATGCAGTTAGTACATGATTATCAATCTGTTCTATGTTCATTTGTCATAGCTGGAAAACAGGTAGAACATCAGCCAGTTGAGTTGAAATGGACAGGTCCAAGGAGTGGCCAAACTACAGGCAGAATTTAATCACAAATGATCAAGAAGGCAAACAACATCAGGTCTTAGCCATTGCAAGAGAACACAGATTATCTAACAGTAGAAGGAATCTCAGAGGTGGGAAAGACAGGGGGACCGGTACAGGTACCTGAGGGTGTGGTCACTGAGAGGATGGACATGGATGTAAAGGTACTGCATATTGAAATATTGTTGAATTTCTAATATTGTATTACCAGTGTTTAATTTAAGTGCAGTTACAGTATTGCTGTAATATAATAGTTTTTGCCTCACCTGTCCTTGAAATCAAAGACTGACTTCACTGTTTGCCACTCACCTCCTCCGTATGACAACTACAGTGTTTGTTCCTGCTGTCTGCTGAGGGAGGGGTCTTTCATTTAGAAAGTGAGAGAGGTCGTTCCTGGGCTCTATATAAACTGATGGACAGCTGGCACAGAGATGGTCTGGTCTTCACAGCGCGCGGTCACACCAACAGGCACAGAGCTGCGGACATATCTTCATACAGCTGCTTCTTTCCGGTAGGAATCTTTCACTTTTTATGTTTTAGAAATAATCCTAACTCACAGTATGAAACAGAAATTTTGGAGGTTTTCTTACTAAGTCTTCAACCTCAGCCACTGGTGGTGGAGACAGATGTTCATTTGCTGTTTATTTGATGTTATACTCTGTTGCTAAGGGTCACAGTTTGTTCTGTAATTACAGTACTGTTTCATAAACTCATGTAAACAGACAGGAAGCCCATTAACGGGTGGAATTTCAAAGACTACATTTCTGTTTTCTTGTAGATGAGACCTGGCCTGGAGTGTAAATCAACAAATCAATTAAATGCACCATAAATTAAAATAAACTCAATCATTTTGCCAGCCTGAATATATTGCCACATGCATTTTTGTTTGTTTTCCTCATCTCTATGCTCCAAACAGGCTGGATGACAAGAGGGTTCACTCGCTCTCACCACCTGGGGGTGTGTGTTCTATAGCAGAATGAACAGAGAGAACCCTCTTGTCAGTCATCCACTCTTTGTCTCTGTGGGGGAGACCGGGCTGCTGGGATACACACAGTGCAGTGAGTGTGTCTCATGAGGAGCAACTTAAGGTGTTGTAGTAGAAATTAGGAGCCACAGCCCACAGCAGGTGTGGGAATATCTCACTTTCAAACCCAATGAGCAAGGTGAGCCCATCAACATTGACTAGCTAGTAGAGCGAAACTCTTCCAAAGTGGTGACGACAAAAAAAAAGAGCACAACAAAGTTGCATCCCCTCCTTAAACATAACCATACAACTTGATATTCCCAGCTGGGGAAACAAACCTCACCTGGACACACAGAACCTCTGCCCTGACAGTCAGTACTCACTGAGGCACTTGGTCAACAAAGTAAGTACAAACGCAACAGCGCACAAAACTGTGCACTAATCAAAAGTGTAGTTCTGCGGCAGCATGTGGAAACACAAGGTAGGTTAACACAATTATCAACTACCCTCGAGAGAGAGTACAGAGTACCAAAACAAAACCCCAACCTTTATGCCTGCAGAGTGAGAGGTATACCACCAAATACCTCCTGACAGAACACCCAGAAGGGACTCGTATGACAAAGGTCTCTGAGAGGACCACCTCTCTGCACCTCAGCCCTTATGAGCAGGCCTCAGGGCAAGGATCGCCAGTCTGATCAGTGGCCCTGGCTTGAAAATCCATTCAGGGGTGTACAGGACTCACAAGCACTCTTGACAGACAATCAACCACAGGACTGGACTGTCCAGCCACATGCTGAGGTGGTGAGGTACAATTCTAACAACTCCAGGTCAATAACACTGTACTTTCATTCACAATCTCACAATTTGATGACACTGTTAAAGGTCTGGATTCATTCAGGAGTCCAGTCCACAGGCTCGCTGGCCTTAAATACCTTAAAGAAATCCAGGTTGGATGCTATAACACCCCAGCTACAACAGCTGCATACACGCCCTCTGCTGCTGGCTGCAGGCAATCCAAAGTCACACTGCACAACAAAACTCACATTTGAACTGTTCCTAATGAATTTCAATTTTGATTAGGGGCAAGATATCGCCATCTTTTTTTCATGTCTGCCTCTGAGAGCATTTATAATATCTCTGAAAACTTTTAGTGTCTGAAAACACCCAGAACCACAGCTGCAATGTCATTACAGCCCATTTTGTCCACACCAGTGACATCCTCGTCTCATGTTCCCTCCTGAACAAACCCACAGAGAGATGTTAGGATGGCTGCTGTGGGAGTGGGAGTGAGCTCTCTCTCCAGATGGCTATTACCCTAATGATGTTGGAGGAAAAAACTGGTTTTGTAATTCACTTTTCCGGCCCTCTTTTAGCAGGAAACAGTCGTGGTTAGATTTTTCAGACACAGCTGGACAGAGGACAGAGACTCACAGGTGTCACGGTAATGACGGTGGCAAGGTTCCTCCTCCTTCTTTCTGTCCTCACAGGTAAGACTGCAAGTACAAGTTTTATATAAAGCATTTCTCTAATATTAATTTCCGTGCGTCTGTTGAGCGAGTCTGAAAGCAGACGTATGATGTCTTTTTGTGTTCTTGTCATTTACTCAGCGTCTGCCTCGGAAATGACAGAATACGAAGGTAACAAAATCTACAGGTTCTAAAAATACATATCTATATATTTATGTATGCACACATATAAAGATATGTATACATGTACACGTTTAAATGTATATTTACGCGTATGTGTGTGCTTACTTATATATACATATATGTTACCTGTGTGTGTACATGCATATGTATACACATGAATATATATTCTGGTGTGTTGTCTTGTACTGAGGCTCTAATTGACATCAGTTGGATCTATGGTACAGATCCTCATTTCTTATCATAATGGCCTCTCTGTAGCCACAACTACTGGATTTTATAGCATCTAATTATGAGCAGGTGGTTTTCGTGGTTGGATGACAGAAGCAGCAGATTTGAAGCCACAGTTGTTAGTGTCTGATACTTTCCGTATAGAAATATCAATAAACTGTGAAACAAGTGTTAGGGTGTGGTGTTCTCTCTCGGTAGGATTTAAGATCCAACGACAGATTCATTTATTAATGATTACCTAAAATGAAGAACCGGAGAGTTTTTCTTTGATTTTGCTTTTTATTTTTCACATAGTTTGGATTGCCTCCATGATGGAGTCAGTATTTCTTGCCATGTTTGTACTGTTACCCAGAATGGACAGTTCTGTACAACACCTGCTGCTTCTGCTTCCTTAGCTATAGCCTCGACATTTCCTACTGATGAGTATTGCAACAATGTGAATGAAACTAAGGACCTAAGTCTTTTAGAAACACAGAGAATTAGACCCAGCTTTTTCTTGTTTCTTGTTGTGTATAATTATTGTGTTTTGGTTGCGATACACAACTTCATTCCTATATTTCGCTCAATCCAGCACATGTGTCTGTGTTGCTGCTGTTTCAGGCGACGTAGACCCTGAGGCCAACTGCAGTTATCAGGATGTTTTAAACTACCTGAACCTGACCAAAAACAACCAGCTTTACTCCATGACCCGGCCCGTCAGGGACTACAGACGACCCACACAGGTTTCCTTGGAGGTTGCGCTCTACGCTATTCTAGATATGGTGAGTCAGACATTAGACATACATTTACGCCCGTAATGTGTACACAAATATTTACATGTGACATACAGACAGTCAGAGTTGTGTTATTTGTCAACCATCCACATATGTATATAAATGTATATATATATATATATATATCTATATGTATGCATTTAAAATTATGATGCAATTTGTACATGAACTTACAATGACTTACAAACTGAGAGCATAGACACAGGTGTTAATGTTGAGTTTTGTTTACAGGTTGAGAAAGAACAGAAGTTTATCCCTTTTGTTTGGACAGTCATGGTGAGTTTAGGCTTTTTAATTGATCTTTTTCTCTACAGTTTTTATTGCTACTCTTCTCATGTTTGTCTTTTCTATATTTCACAGTGGTGGCAAAATGAGTATATTTCTTGGGATCCAAACAGATTTTGTGGTATTATTAATGTTTCCCTTCCAAGTGATATTCTGTGGACGCCAGATCTCACTATTGAAGAAATGTAAGAGTCTTTCTCTCACATATGCACATGCACCTAGCTGTACTAATCGAATGAATCTAGCACTTTTATCATTTTTAGAGACTCATGACAGTAATGGCCATTACCGTGTTGTTTTGTCTGTGATGTCCTGATACGAAATGACAACAAGAGAAATTTGGAGTCTTTTTAATTTGTCTAGAAATGAGGTTTGTCTGATACACATCTGCTGAAGCCTGTACCAGAGAATAAAAATACACAACAGGAACCTCTGAAATGACTTCATTTGGTTCATGAGTTAACAACCAAAGCCCTTAAAACAGACTTTCTCTTATCACAGGATGTAACTTTAGAATGCTAGGTGTGACTTTCTCACGGACAGTATGATAAGAGATGTCGCCAAAAAAATCAAAACTCCCTAATACAAAGACATGTTTACTCAAAATGGAATAGTATTAATTTAAGCTAATGTATAAAAAGGAAAAATGATGGCCAAGAAACTAAGAAAAAGTAGGACCCAGACATTAAGGTCATCAGGGTCATCTGCTCTGTGTCACCAGAACCAGGACTAAACACTGAGAAGCTGATTTGAGCTTTTATGCCCCAAAGATCTGGAACAAGCTCAAAAATAAGGACTTTCCTGCTGTGCTTCTACACTACAGCAGCTTACTGACAAACTATTTTTCCATTTTTTATTCAACTTTATTATAAATGTGATCATGTGTTTATGTTACAGGACAGAAAAGGACAAAGCTCCAAAGAGTCCTTATCTCACCATAAGCTATAACGGTGACGTTGAAATCAAGAAACACCAGGTGTTGGTCAGCACCTGCAGAATGCACATTTACACTTTCCCCTTTGACATACAGAGCTGCAACCTTTCCTTCAAGTCTGTCATTTACACAGGTGGGAATCCAGTCTTTGGTGATATAGTCCATTTCTATTTGTATCTATATCGTAGCTGAATTAAAAGATGAATAAGTCTAATGAATAATATTAATAAGTTAATGTCTCTATCTGCCTCCCTTCTCATCACTTCCATATTAATCCGTCTCCAACCTCAGCCAAGGATATTAGGCTCAAACCGAGCGACAACTCGTCAGAAGCCACGACTTGGTCTATGGAGGTGATGAGGACGCAGTATGAGTGGCTGTTCATCAACATTTCAGTCACCACCAAAAACGCCAGTGATTTGGACCAGCAGGACATTATTGTTTACACTGTAGGTACACCAGAGCTGTGGGCTCTTAACTAGAGAAGCAGTCTCCATTAGAATTATTTCCAACACAAAGTAGATGATGTGAGGATGACAAAAATATTTATTTATCATAGATGGAGAACAGGTAGGACTCAAATGCACACATCACATCAGCAAGTTGTTGTGGAACACACAGGAGTGCTCAAAATTCAGGCAGAATTTGATCAATGATCAAGATGGCAACGGTTATGTTGGGAGACAAGGCTGGAACACTAACAAGACACAGGTGGAACACAGTAGGAGGAATCACAGAGGCAGGAAAGACAGCAGGCCAAGCACAGGTATCTGGGGGTGTGGTCAAGATACTGGATATTGCAGTATTGTTCAGTCTCTAATATTGTCTGTGCTTCTTGCTGGCAGTATATGTTTAACTTGAGTGCAGTATTGCAGTATTGTTGTAATGTAATAGTATTGGACGTGTTTTTAGCAGTACTAGAGTCAGCGTTCTCTTTCTGCCAAACAGATTAACATGAGGCGGAGGTCAACCCTCTACATCGTCAACTTCATCCTACCCATCCTGTTCTTCTTGTGTCTGGACCTGGCTTCATTCATGATCTCAGACAACAGCGGTGAGAAGCTGAGCTTCCAGGTGACGGTGCTGCTCGCCATCACCGTGTTACAACTGATTCTGAACGAGATTCTACCGTCGTCATCAAACAGGATCCCACTCATAGGTAAAGAAGTCAAGTACTTCATGTACTATACTATACTCCGTAGGTAATTCATCAATGGTCTGCTCCCCACAGCCGTTTACTGCATTGGTGTTTTTACCCTAATGATGCTCAGCCTCCTGGAGACAATTCTGATTATGTATCTAAGGGAGAAGGACAGAGCACGGCTGCATGATGGGTCAGACAAAGAACTGGGGCTGAAGGAAAGCTCTAACAAACAGGAGAGACTGGACTTTCAAAACTATCACAGAGGTGAGACCATGTTGCCAATAGAATCATCCTAGGGTTGCTAACCATAACCCAGCCCCGAGGATGAGGCCACAGTCCTCTCCTCTTCACTACTAGTACCTTTTTAAGATCATCCTATCTGTCTCAGAGATGCACACTTGGACAGAGTATGGACATATCTATGACGGTGCTACTGAGACGTCCCCTGAGCAGCTGTCTATGGCCATAGAGGTTAGAACAATTAAAAAACAATGACCAAATGTAAATCATACGCCCATGAATACCTGAGGACATTCTATACCATCTGCATTCCAGCATAACAGCAACAGCAGGCTGGTGGAGGACAACCACGTCCTGGCCAAGGTGTCAGATGAGCTGAAGGAGATGGAGAGAACTCTGGGCCTGCTCCTAAGCACCAGGACGGATCACAAACCCGGTTACTGGTCCAGACTGGCTAAAAAAGTGAACAAGGTTTTCTTCATTACCTACGTTATAATAATCATAATCTTTCTATCAGTTCTCTTTTTGAACTGGAACATTGACTGAAATGATGGGTGGTCATGTCTGTCTCTTTGCCTCTGTTTGTGTGTCTCAACTTTAACACTTACTCCGCCATGTACTCAGCAGATATAAAGTAACAGCTTTAGATGGGATTTCCACCATACAGAAAGTGTATTTGGTCCTTTGATGCCGTAGGAACACAGGGTCAGTGCTGAAGATGAGAATTAGACTAAGATAATACTAATACTAATACTAATACTAATACTAATACTACTAAAAACTCCATGCTCAGAGTATAGTTGAATTGCAATTATATTGCAGTGGAGCAAGTGACTGGAAGACAAGGGCGGTGGTCTTCAAATTCAGGTAGTGGTAAGCAAGGGGATTTCATAGACATTTGCTCAGAGTGTTTGTGTGTGTTTGGTTTCAGGAATGAATATATGTGCAAATAACAGTGTAACTCTGTCGTGTGGCGTGGCTCATAAATATACAGATTTCCTGACGAAAACTCCAGAGGGATTAATAAAGTTCTACCCATGTAAATGGAGAGGACATAAAACTTCTATACCTTCCTATTAAGTGCTTTGCAAAAGAGAATAGAAATGAATGTAGAATAGCCTTTGTTGGCGTTTGACAGAATTGGACATTTCATGCTTGTCAATATTACGACTACTACTGCAAGATTAGCTAACATGTAGAACATGCCTTTTGTACCCAGGCAGCCATGTTGGATCTGTTATTACAATGGCCTTCAGTGTATACACTATAATGTAGTGCTAAATGCACAAATATTTTAAAAAATGTAACGGGACCAGAAGGTGTTACCTAATCATCACTGGCAGCCATGTTTTCACTGAGTGACTCAGGTTGGTAACTACAACGCACAGTCACTACTATCTAGTGTTTAGGGTTTGAACCAAAGACACCTGCAGTTGATAGATACTGTTCAGTAGGTCTTTGTTCTTGTAGGTCATGTAGGTCAACTGCTAACTGACAGTGGTGGTCAGCCACTTGATGTTGACTGTACTGTATTTACCCTGTTGTTAACTGTATTGTTTTTCCTGTTAGTAGATTTGTTGTCTGTCCACACCAGTATAAAGAAGCAGAACCCAAATGCCGAAACTGAATTTATTCAAGTTATATTTAAATAAAATGTTGTGAAAATGCACTAATGTCAGCTGTATGTCAGATGTTTTTATGATGATTTATGATTATGAGCCATTACATATGATAATATGTAGTGGAATACTGCTATATATCATGTAACAAATAAGAATAGCTGCAGTTAGCTGAAAATGATGATGATGAGTGAATAAATGACTAAATAAATATCCTTTCTTAACATACCAAAATTAGTGGAAATATATAACCTTAAGATAAATAAGAAAATGACTGTATGAAATTATTAGTATATTTTTAGATTGAAATGTATTTACAAAAATATTATACAATAGTAGAATACTTTTGTCTTTTTTTATTCTACATATATCAACCTTTAAATCATGGCAAATATCAAGTTTTACTAATAACACAGTTGTTTTCAACAACTGAAGAAAAATAACAGCCAACTTTATTATATTATATTTATATCAGATTTGTAACTTTTATCCCTCTAATTTCCTCTGACATTTCCTCTCCATTTGAAGCTGAAGTCTTGGCATTATGGACGGCTGATGTCTTTGCCCAGCCCTCTTAATTAGTGAAGGGGGTGGCTGTTTCCACACATTCATCTGACAGAGCCACTTTGGCTGCTGTCGTTCTACTGGTCCTCACAGTGACTTTTGGGACTAGTCAATAATGATTAGTGTACAAAGGCACACACATTCAGATATATAAGGTGAGTCTGTGGTTCTTGATCTCCTTGTGTCTCCTTTGTTCCCGTATTTGAATTTGAACTAAATAAACTCTGTGAAAGTGATCTCTGCCTCTGGAGTACAGCACTGCCTGCTGACTGTGTCTCTGACATGACCTCAGATAAAGGTTATTGTGGGATTGAACCCCAAATCCTTTATTTGTGTATGTACACAGTTACACAGTATCCAAACTGATCTCATCAGCACTTGTTAAATACACCAGCATATTGACAGTCTTTGTCTTGTATTGGGTCATGTTTACTGTAGCACCACGTGGTTGAGACATAATTACTCCAAGAAAAAGAGAAATGGGTGGATCTCAAGGTTCGCCAAACCCACTTCCACTGTAAATTAATAATAAGGGACAGCACAGAAAGGACTGAGCTTTCTCCATCCTCACACACTTTTGAACCTTGCCGTTCCTGAACTAAACATGTTTGTTTTATTCTATTTTTTCTTTCTATTTTTCCTGCTCCTTCTAACAGGTACGATTCCCATTCCTGCATCTGAACTTTTCTTTATTCTTCCTACTTAATCTGTACATTTTTACAGTGATGGTTGAGACGTATAGAGTGTAAGTAAAAACGTTCTACTCCAAAATGTATATGTTTATGTTATTGGAGTACATATCTACTCCATCTGGTACATTTGAGGTTGGCGGAGGATGCCTGACAATCTGAAATGATGGAGTAAAGAAGAAATCTCACTTCAATATAGTAGACCAACTTGTATGTTGTATTTTAAAAAGCAATATTAATGTAAAGTGTTGAATGGTAGATATTTCTTCATCGAGCGTGTTAGGAAGCTTCTGTCTACTCCACACAGTCCATATCATTTTTCTTTATTGAGCTGAAATCCTAAAGTGTCGACATTGATGTCTTGGTTAAAAGACTAGTTTAGACAGAAACGACAGTAACAATTACATTTAAGAAATATTTTAGTGAGGAAACAGCTGGGCTGACAGTATCCATCCCATGACAACTGTGTTTGACCACAAATACTGTGCACTTCTCTCACTGGTACATTCATATTTAATGCCTGGGAAGAACTTCTGCAGAGACAGCCTTTTAGAGCTGTTATATTGCATTGAACAGTCATAATATCGTGTGTTCAACACAATCACACATGTACTCTGTGTTGAGGTCTGCTAGGAGAGTAGAGTGGAGAATATCAGAGCAATGTCATGCTAAACCATAAAAATCAACGAGGTACTCTAAGAAATCAGAGGTCTGAAGATTTGTGTGCAGATAATGGATGAGCGATTATAGCTGACGTCCACTAAAAGGAAGGTTAATGGTTCAATTCCCAGACCTACAGCTTTACACAACACTAAGGACGTTATTAATGGTATTGACGGATGTTTCAGTTTTAAACAGGATGCAGAAATTAGAGTAAAGTCTGTGTATGTAAGTGGAGGGGGAAAGGGGGTGGTGGGGGTTTGCATTAGTTAGTCAGCATTGTTCTAGCCATGATCAATTGTGTGGTGTGATTCCCTCATCGCTGGCCTGTGACATGTATCGCCAACAGGCGATACATCCACTGAGGAGAACTGCAGTTATGAGGATGTTTTTAAACACGTGGACTTGACCTACAACAATAAGCTGTTCTACATGACCAGGCCTGTGAAATCCCACAAAACAGTCACAGAGGTGTACCTAGATTTACTGCTCTATGCAATTCTGGAGATGGTGAGTGATGGATGACTCAGAATAAACTTTATTCATAATTACATTTCTCATTATATAAACTGCTGCATTAAAGATATATTTTTGTACTTAAAAAGTAAAAGAAAAAAATGGAAATCTCTAGTAATTGTGACATTAAGTGCTTTTTTTTTCATGTTCCTTTGCTCACAGAAAGAAAAGGACCAGATATTTGTTCCATATGTTTGGATAACAATGGTGAGTGTTGGCCGGTTGAGAGAACTCTGGTCTCTCACCTTGTCTTACATGTTTCATTGATATTTTCTCTCTGTTTTGTTCTGCAGTGGTGGAAGAACGAATACATTAGCTGGGATCCTGATCAGTTCTGTGGCATCAAATCAGTGTCCGTTCCAACTGAAATCATGTGGAAACCAGATATCACCATTGAAGAAATGTAAGATCACTGGGTGTATAACTAAAGAAAACGCCTTTAAATACTGTATTTTCTGGACTATAGAGCGCACCTGAATATAGCACACCCACTAAGTTTAAAAAAAAATATATACATTTACATATATAAGCCGCATCGGACAACAAGCTGTGTTCTATTTTGCACTGACTTCCCCTGTCTGTCTCGTTTTTGCACTTCCTGCTAGAAAATCTTTGTAGTTTGAATTAGAAAATTGCATCTTTGTATATCTCTTATAATCCGGAAAATACGATAGATGTTAATATGACAAATCAAAATAGTGGTGCGAGTGGCTACAAAAAGTATCTATATATATGTGTGCACAAGTAAGTACACCCACAGACAGTACGTGTGTTCTTGTGTGTCTGTGTTTCTAGGACAGAAAGGGACAAAGCGCCTCCCAGTCCGTACATCACCATTACAAAATCGGGACACGTGGAGGTTACAAATGACCAGGTGTTAGTCAGCACCTGCAGGCTGCACGTTTACAAGTTTCCATTTGACACCCAGAGCTGCACCTTAACCTTCAAGTCTTTTATACATTCTGGTGAGCAAGAAACTCGCTCTTATCAATAACAGATTCTTTTTTTTTCTTTAAATTCAAGTGAGGTCATGTGAGGTCATTGTAAACTTATGTTTTGTCAAATGTTAGATGAAGAGGTCAAGCTTGTGCACTACTCCAACTCTACTGAAATCACAGAGGAATCTCGTGAAGTGATGCGGACCCAGTCGGAGTGGATATTCCTCAACATGTCAGTCAAGACAGAGACTATCAACTATTATATTTATAATCAAAGTCGAGTCATTTACACGGTAAGTGTTGCTAAATTCAAACCCTGAGTGGTGGTAGTTTTACTGACATAGTCCAACTGAAGTCTTGCAGTACACTACATACCACGTTACATTATGAAAACCACAGTACTAGAGTTTCAAACATCTACAAACTATTTCCAACGACAGGTAAATGTGTGGTAAATCAATTCAAATTGGAATACACATTATACAGCACAAGAAAGTGTATTAGAGTCTATTGTTTCAAATATGTGAAATCCCTGATATTGTTGTAATTATTTTTTATAATAAAAATCCAATCTCACTACAAGCACAATAAAAATGTGACATTCAAATCCAAATTTCTATATTGTGGCAAAGATTAATTTAAATCCTACTGCACATTTCTTGTGATCCACTTTTTTATACAATAACACATTAGTGTGTGATACAAATGCTGCATCTATTAACAAATCTATTTCCAAAGCCACCTGATTACAATAACAATGTTTAATTTATCACAAATACAGATGAACTCTGTGGAAATGCCCTTTTATGCAGGAATACCATATGATATGGAGAACATATATTTTTGCCTCACAGATCACTATGAAGAGAAGGCCAGCTCTCTACGTAGTCAACTTTATACTGCCTATCCTATTTCTGCTGTTTCTGGACCTGGCTTCATTCATGATCCCAGAGAGGGGGGGAGAGAAGCTGAGCTTCAAGGTGACGGTGCTGCTGGCCGTCACTGTGATGCAGCTTATTCTAAATGAAATTCTGCCTTCTTCTTCAAACCGGATCCCACTCATAGGTAAAGAAGCAGAGGTGTTTATATTAGCTGTTTGGTGTGAAGGTACTTACCTGATGGACTGACAACACTGTCTGCTGTCCTCAGCCGTCTACTGCATCGGGGTGTTCACGCTGATGATGGTCAGTCTGCTGGAGACGGTGTTGATGATGTTTCTGATGGAGAGAGAGAACACAGCAGAAGACAATGAGACAGATGATGATTCACACTTGAATGAAGATGAAGGAGACAGAGCCAAATGGGAAAAAGGTTTTTAAAAAAAAGGAGAATTAAATATGATACCAACTAAAGCAACATGGAAGTGAACTGCATGTTTTAGCTTAGTGTTCATTCTAACAACTCTGGAAGTTAATACATGTATTTGTCCTCTAATCTACACAGAACTGAATAAAGTGATTAAACCCAGACGTAGCTTCCTCATGTCTCCAGTAGAGATGGGCTCAGAATTCCACACCGTGGCCCAAGAGGTTGTCATTTAACATTTCAACGTTGTATTAGAATGCACTAACCATAGGACTGCATCAGAGGGTAAATAAGTGGCGCTAACCTTTTTTCTCAAACTGATTTTCAGAATTCGAGCAGCCCACTGACAAGGGAGTCTCAAGCCTGCGAGAGAGCAACACATGAGCTGAGGTCGGTGATAAGAACACTGACACTGCTCCTCAACAGCAACAACAAAGTGGAGAAGCTTGGGTACTGGGCAAGAGCAACGAGAAAAATCAACAATGTCTTCTTCTTTTTGTATTTCATAGCAGTCAGCACTTTTCTAGTTTTTATGTTTTTTGAATGGACTCAGTAGTAGATTCATTTTTAGGTAGTAGTTGGATGCTTGAGGTTTTATGCATGACTGTACTGACTTTTCAGCTGGTTAGCAGTTAAGCTGTAGTATTGCAATGCCAGTAATAGTACTTGTTTGTTTTTTTTACAAAAATAATTTATGTTTCCCTAACCAGTATTCTGTAAAAAAACACTTTAAAGTATCGTTATTAAATATGATTCCTTTTTAACTGTCAACCTGATTGTCCCCTGTCCCCGATAAAAACCGTTAAACAATTTAATCGATCATTTTCAAGGACATGGCTGCATTTTATACATTTTAAATACACTTTTTTACTTACATTTTCACAAGGACAATTCTGTTCGGCCTCCGGAACAGCAGGGAGTGCTGTTTGCTTCTGCGCCCCTTTGCTCGCACTCAGTCAGTGACGTGGATTTTCATTGAGACGGGACAATAATTCCTCACCAACATTTCGCAGGCTTTTTCCACACAAACTTTCTGCCTTTTATGAGCTGTCGTCTTCGTTTGCAACCCAGCTGAGCACAGGTTTGTTGCAGCTTTTAAACCGGGTAAGTGTATCATGTGTTACGCCAGAGTCAGCTTTTATTTTAGCCCAGTGTTAAAGTTGCCTTCTGGTTTCATCATGACAGAGTTTGTGTCATATACCAGAACAAACATGAGTAAAAACAGCAAAGCGCTGAACCTGAAGGACAAGATCAACGGGAATGAAGTGGATCTGAGTCTAAGTAATCTGACCGAGGTACCGGTCAGAGAGCTGGTAAGTTCCTTCACTGTCTGTCGGACGTATGGACCAAAGGCCCAGAAGACTTTTAAATCAACTCTCATCATGCTGCGTGTGGTGACACGGCATCACGTAAAATACCCCCAAATGTCTAAGCACAGCAGTTGTGTTAACTGGTGCACTAAAGTACGGTTTAAGGTGTTTAAAAGAACATTACGTGGATGTTTCCCACGTAAGTTTAGTGGCAGCTCCGTTAGTAACTGTAATTTAACTTAAAAATGTTTTCTTCCAATAATATATTACTGGACGTGATCCTGCAGGAGGGCAGTCCAGTGGCATTTGATTTGATCTTTTTGTTAGCTATGTTTATATAAATGTATTTGAGAGTAAACCACATATTTCTAGACATACAAAAATGCACATTTATCAGATAAAATTCCCGTTTAACTGCAAAACATCAGAAACCAAACTTACCAGCACTAAAGTTGTGTATAATGTACTTTCTGCAAAGACTGTGTTAAATTTGTTTTCAGGCACTTTGTAATCCTGCTCCGATCACGTTTTTTGTTCTTTCCTCTATTCCAACAGTCGTTATTTCCCAAAGCAACTGTTCTGGACATGTCTTGTAACAACATCATTTTCCTTCCTGTAAGTATAAATCCATTCATCTAAATTTATCTCAGGTTTAAAGTGCATATGTAATGAGTTATTAATGATAAATGAGTTACACTGGAATGTTAAGTCATTTTAATTTAGTCATTTATTAACAGGCTTATTTGAAATATAATAACGTTTGACAAAGATCTTTTTACACAGGTTTAATGGACACATTTGTAGTATTAAATATCACATTTTTATTGGAAATGGTTTATTTGCGATGTGAGAACAATACCACATTTATATATATATTGTTATTTTTTAGCGGATATTGAACAGATATTAATTCTGTTTCTCATACTGGTGCCCTGGTGACCTCTGGGAACTTTTACCTCCCCTTACTTATGATTTCTGCAGCTGGAGTTCTGCAGCCTGACTCACCTTATCAGGGTGGACCTGAGCAAAAACCAACTGACCAGTTTACCAGATGACCTTGGGAACCTGAGCAATCTTCAACACCTGGATCTGTACAACAACAAACTGACTTCACTGCCTGTCAGCTTCTCTCAGCTCAGGGTCAGTACAGCTTTGTCTTGTGCGAGCTGATCTTTTTGTATTTGCCGTGCTGTTGTCAACCTTAGTGCAGTCACATTCAATTCTAGAGTTGACTTTGCCTCCTTTACCTGGGGTCACATCCCAGTAGTTTTGTGGAATTTCATACCATGACAACACAAGTCCTGAGAAGATTCCAACGCCTATAGGACAAAATTAAATTTCACTGCCAACAAATTACCACCAATTGTCACCAGACTGGTGAGGACAGAGACGTCACACAGCTTTGCATCACTACCGTCTTTTGGTCATGACACTCATGACTGTGCCATTTGAAGCTCAAAGTAACCCTCCTGATCAAAGGCAGCTGCTAACCTGCCTTACATCTCAGTAGCACTCCTGTTTATAGTAGTCCTACATTGAGACACGTTCAGAGCAACTGACAACCAAGCATAAAATAGGCAACATAAGTGCAAAACAACCTGTCCACCCTAGGTCTTCAGTCACCCACCCTGGTTTGTCTTCTTCATTTCTGTTGGTATAAAAATAATTAACACCTGTTGAAAGTAAAAACATGCTAATACTCCTACACTTTTGCTAATTGAGATTTCAGCTGAACGCTACATAAAGTGAATGGTACCACTTGTCTATCGATGCAGTAAACATGAAACTGATTCTTTTTTGTATTTCAGTATTTCTGACACACATTCATTGACCTTTGCCACTGTTTTTGTTTTAATCAGAGTCTGAAGTGGTTGGATCTGAAGGACAACCCTCTGGAGCCCGACCTTGCTAAGGCAGCAGGAGACTGTCTGGACGAGAAGCAGTGCAAACAGTGTGCTGCTAAGGTACCAGGGGAAACCATTTCATCTAAACTGCCCAACACGTTAGCAAATGTCTACAACTCTGCTTCCTTTGATTTTCTGTGTAGGTTCTACAGTATATGAGCGTCATTCAGGAGGAGGTAGATCGGGCACGAGAGAAGCGTCTGTTGAGGGAAAAAGGTAGGTTGTGTAGAGAATGACTGGTTTGTGCTAACCAACCTATTTAAAGAAGCATCGGAGGACCTTTTATGGGCAGCTTAAATAAAACAGATGGTTTCTTCCTTACTTTTTAATCCTTTCACTAGAGCTAGAAAAGAAAAGAGAGGCAAAGCAGAGAGAGCGGGAGGCCAAAGAGAAGGAGGCTCGAAAACAACAGAAGGCAGAGGAGAAGGAGAGGAGGAGGAAAGAATACAACGCAAATCAGATGGCAGCTTTGGCTGCACAGGAGCAACAGAAGAGAAAGAACGAGCAAAGAAAGAGGAAGAACGGACAAGCCGCAGGTGGGGAGTCAATGGATGACGTAAATAATAAATAATAAAAAAATACAGCAATATATGGATTTAACAGTGTAAAGAAATGTAATGATGTTTTTCAGATAAGAAAGTCGTCATGAAAACAGGGAGTAAACCGCAGCGTTCCCTGATCGGCCTCCTATTCAGATTCTTCCTGCTGGTGCTGCTGGGATTAGCTGCAGTGGGAGCGGTCTGTCGAATGACTGACCTGCAGAAGGAGGCAGTGTGTGTTCCTGTTAACCTAGCTGTGAACGACGGCCTGTCGTGGGCCGGAGAGCAAGAGGTTGTGGTCAGACAACTGTGGAAAAGTCTGTCCTCCACCGTGAAGGCGTTTTTTGAATCCAAACCATTGCAAAGCTAAAACCTCTGTTCAAGGAAACTCAGACTTGCAGGTATCTCAGCCACACCTGTGAATCCCTCATTTCCTTTCTTTTTTAATATCTTATAATTTTTCTCATCAAGATCTGTGTCTCCTCACCCTGTTTGTGGTGCAGAGAGCTGAAGTGTCTGTGCAGATAGACGAAAAGGGGAACGGACTAATGTGTTCCAATCATCTAAAAATTCCTATGGAATTGTCGTTGTGCACGTTTCCCTATTTTTTTTCTACTACAACCTGTATGTTAATGTCAGGGGCCCTGTCTGTGCTGCACTGCAGTGTTGAGATAGTCACACTGCACAGAGTGTGACTACACCAACTCCAACCCTCAGATGTCTTAAAAATAGTGTAATTGCAGCTCATTTCTACCCAACTCACAGCCCGACAAAATTGTAAGCAGAATTTATCTTTACAACCCAGATGCCAAAGATGTCGGGTCATTTGTAAGCCAGTGTTGGAAATGCATGGTCTTGTATAAAATGTCCTGACTGTGTCACATGGAATGAAATGAACAAACCTAAATTTAAAAGAAATAAAATAAAGCTTGAACATGTGTTTGTTTATTTTAGGGCTGCTACAAATACATTCTTTAAGTAATCGATGTTAAATCTGCAACAGCTCACTGGTCTTACTGTGGATCCAAAAGAAACATGACGACAAGCTAAAGTCACAAACACCAGCCAGGCTTCCAATGCCCACCATGTCTACTTCCATGGTTTTGCATGGCTTGACTACAATTTTTCTACTGTTCCTTTCCTTAATCCTTCAAATGTTGTTCCTTCAGTGGTTGACTGATCAACCTGACCACGAGGCTTACAACCTGCAACAAACTTTTAAAATGAAGTTGTGATGTTTTTTGTCAATAAACCTTCAAATCAAAACAGGTTACAGGTTAATTAACCTATTCTCTGCTGCTCACTTTGTTTTTGTGAGTGTTGGTTTGTGTACGGCCTTGTCTTGGCCCAAAACATCATTAATGCCATTAAATGGCTCTGCACAGCAGGAAAATGTGCATTTGCATTTATTCTTGTATGTTTCTTTGTAAAGTCAGGCTGAGTCAAGTGCACAGGGCTTGGAAAAGTAACTGGTACTATTTGTAAAAAGTCAAGTATGTCAGAGATCTACGTATGCGGGGGTGCTGCAGGACGGGTGCAGTGCAGGTTCTACTCTCACGTTGCACGTAACTAAATCTTCTGAAGTCGGTAAGTATAGTACCAATAATGCTGTCTTCCTCATATAGCGCTGCCTCACAGCATGTACTGTAGGTCGGCTCTGTGCGTCGGAATGGTAAAACAAGATTCTTAATAAAAGAGAGATGGTGACCACGAAAACCACCGAACGCCGTAGGTAGAGTGCCTGAATGGTACAAGGTAATGATCATATCCACAGATGAGTTGGTTTATAGACAGAGTAAGGAGCAGGTGAGAGAAAAGAAGTGAAAACGTAAGGTCAGAACTGCTACTGGTTATACAAACACAGTTGTATCTGGTTAGATCTAGTGTTGTAAAGTCATTCATGTTGATGTGAAGCTTTTGATTTTATCTAGCAAGCACTTTTCTACTGTCAGTAAACTGATCTTAGTCAAAGACTATCCCAAAACTAAAATTTAATATCAGTAAAAATCCCGCCACAAGCTGTTCCAAAAAAATTTAATGACTGCTCCTGTTTCCTCAATACCATCAAAATACCACCATTATCTGGCTTTCACCAGCAGGAGTGCAGTCCTTGACCACAGTCATAATTACACTGAGGTAAACAATGATCAGTGGAGCGGCGCCAATGGTTTACTGAATATTGATAAAAGTAAACAACAGTTTTGTTCATTAGGG